CAGCAGTATGAAGGCAGGGTACGCTATGTTCTCTGTTGGCTCAGTCAGTGGGGGATACTATAGAGGGGCTGAGACATGCCAGAGGGAGGCTACCTTTATGAGATTCTGGGAGTGGGTGTGATGAACGCATTGGTGTTCTTATGCAACATGCTTGTTAAAGTGAGCATTCAGTGGCTGAGAAGGTTGTAAATATTTCCTAGGGGCCCTCAGGGTTCAGAGAAAGAACTACAGAACTTAGATTCTACACAAATGATTCTGGTGGAGAGCCGCTTTGTGTTCTTGTATTTATTCAAAAGTTGAATTGTAAAGAAAAAGTCTCAAAGAAAAGCTCACCTCTCTTTATTTTTAAGTATTTGTCAATAAAAATCTACAAAACTTGTGTAAGCCTTCAAGCACCCTATACCCTATAGCCTCCCATCCCACAATGCTCTGCTCTGGAATAACACTGATCCACATGTTTTCCACTCAGCTGTCCCCATTCATGGTGGCTGTGTTGGATCTAATGGGCTCTAAGCTCTTTACACTGTGTTAATCTCCTCACAGTCTGCATAGCATCTACTGTATCACAGCCTCTCAACTCACTGCAGGTGCTGTATGTGGTAATATTTTGGGCTTATGGTGAATTATTTTCGATACTGTGGTTCTGCTGTTGTGTTGGCAGTTCATATTGTTTGAGCAGTACTACTAAAGCTGATGGGGTTCATCTTGATCTATAAATATTAGATGAAAAGAGACATGGTCATCATCTGTTGAAAGCAGGGAGTGGTCTCCTCTCTCTGATATCAATTTAGTATTTTTGAATTTGCTCTGTCACTGTTGTTGTTGTTGTTGTTGGCTGTGCGCTCTGTCCTGTGAAAAAAGGAGAACATAAGAACTTCAACATGGCAGGATTAACCAAGGAACACAGATGGTGGAACAAACAAATAGTGAAAAAAAACTTTAAACCAATGTGGGGCAACTGATCAGGACAGAATGACACATTTTAATAGCAGCTTTGTTTTATTAGAAAGCATAACTTCTGAATACCATCCCAACTCTTGAAATGTTACATTGTTGCTTTTGTCTACCAGTTATCAAAGGTGATCGTATTACTACACTTTGTCTAACCTCTGTATTTACTGGGAATGCTTTGTCAGTTTTGCATCAAGAGGAACTTGGAGGCACACACCTAAAGTTACATAATGAACACTTTTTGTGAATGCCAGCCAATTGAAAGGTGTTGATTTGCATGCCGCACAGCCACAAAACCACCCAGAGCTCGTAAAACTGCAACACTCCCTCTCCAACTGGTTATCATGGAGAGCTGCCACAGCGTTCTGTGCTCATAAGAAACCAGCCCACACCACTTCCCCAAAGATACCAGTCTCTGCCGGTTTTTAACAAGGTGGTCTGCTTGTGGGTTATGCAACAACAAATGGCTGGCATTGTGGTTCAGGAGGCAGCAGGCCTTAGTGTGTCCAGGATCTGCGGGGCTACGACATCTGCCATGTTTCCTTCATCTTGATTTTTAATGTAGCTGTAATAACACCTAAAGAGCAATTATCAGAAAAATGATATGCTGACCTCAGCAAGGGTTTGACCAGAGAGGGGTTTTATAGGGTTTAATATTCAGACTACAAACTGCTATGTCAAAAAGCAATAACAAAGAAGCCCAGTCCCATGACATGCAAGAAATGGACACAAACTCATAAAAGCACATTGCGTGGTGGTGGGCATGAAATGCAATACCAATGCAAAGTGAGGATTTTTTTTTTGTTCTGGTAGACACACCAATTAAGTATAAATGGCGAGGAAGTCTGTGTAGGGCAGACAAATTGTCAAACAAATACAGACTTTAAACCAGGAGGCCGCTGTTCGTGTCCTGTGTGAAACCAAAAGTCAGTGTAGTGAGACTTTATGGACTTTATGTAATTATGCAAAGTAGGTACATTTATGTCACTTACTGTTATTATTATTATTTTAACCAAAACCATGATTCTTAAACATATTTTTTGAAGGCGGTACCCGTGTCTCACGGTCTCACGCAAGCCGCACACACATCAGCGCAGTGTACACAGAGGCAGTAAGAGCTACAAGAAAAGAATGCCATGTATTAAAGGTAGGATCTGGAGGATTTTCAAACAAAACAAAATGTAGACATATACAAATGAAATCCTGCTTAATCATCACCTATGGGCTTCTACTCATGTGTGGTGGTGACTCTGTTTGCAGAGCTCCTGCCCTTTAACTGTATTTTGATGTTTTTGTAAGCTCAGACCGCTTCTGGGCGGAGATTTCCCCATCCAGTGAGAGAGCGCAGGTGCCGTGCCCGAGTGTGTCCGAGCATGCACCAACGCGAGCCTTGCCTGAACCTCTTCTCTGAAGCCTTCTTCCGTACCTCCGGGCTCAACACACCCGGGAGAGTTGAGCCTGATAGGAGGGGCCAAATTTGAATGTGTGTTTACAAACACGCAACTGGAAAATTCTCCAGACCCTACCTTTAAACAACTAGTGATGCACAATGGACCTGCAGCCCTCGGGCAGGTTCAGGTAAGCTTAGGCGACAAGAAATTATCACGGATTTGGTCAGGCATCTTCCACTTTCTCTTTCCCTATTTCTAACACACTCTGAAATACACACAGACACCAAACACCAGCCCAGCAGCAATCAGTCCGTGTCTCAGTCCTGACAAATGTGCTATTATAATGCATAAAGTTGGTGGTTTGCGGCTCAGATTCAGATGGTTGATTAACCTTGCCTACATAGATGAATTTGGTGGACCTAAAGGAACTCACGGTTGTGCTGCTGAGTTTTGCATATCTGTCGAGTCTAAGGATTGCATCCATGCAGGGGGGTTTAAAGGACTTACTTAAAGGACTTGTGTCTTTCTGTAATGATGCATATACATTGTACGAATCAGCCCATCAGCCTAGAACATAACCAGTTTTCCAATTTTCCCATTATTATATTTCCCTGGAAATAGAAAATATTATGTATGTGTATGTCTATGGTGTGTATTCGCAAGAATCCTGTGTCGCCTGACCGTTCATTAGGTGAGCTGTTGGAGTATAGTGTTAGGTTATACATTGCTGTTCTCTATGATATATTGTATACCTAAGTACCTCCGTAGAGGGCTAACCTGTTCTTATTCCTAAATGTACGCAAGAAAGGCGCTGATCTCATGTCTAGTTATTATCCTATGGGCCATAAGTATTTAAACCCAGCAGTCATTGTCTAAATAAACTAACTGCACACTAGAAACATAGCATCGTTGGCTAGACAATGACATACATGCTATAATGACCAATCACCAGTAGCTCAGCTCATACACAGTTCACCCAGGGACAATGTTAGGGGGTTATAAAGGTATGAAGAAAAAGATACCGCCTAAGCCTAACTGATATATTCATCCAGATCAAAGTATTGTTACAGCCCTGGTGTATACTCAGGAGGCATGCTTGTTAAATTTGAGTTGAGAAAGTTTACACACATAGGTACGACATTCCCCCACAGCTGCACTTGTAAAAATGAGATGAAATTCAAAAAAACCCTGCTGAATGTTGAAGCATTAGAGCCACGTCAGTGAGTATAGACAGACACTTCAGGGCACCATGAACTCATCAGTTGGTCTTTTCAAAAACAACACTGTTTTTAAATAAGATTTCATTCAGAATATGACAGCAAACAAAAGGAAAACAGGGTTCAGGTCAGAAATGAGTGGAACTGTTTTGCGTGTCCAAAGCTTGGACATGAACAAAGGATTAAATCAGTGACCAGTGGCCTCAGTCAACCCCTGGACTAGAACACAGATCGATAGTGCCTGGCTTTTAGCACATCAGGATAGTTTATGGCCTGACAGCTCCGTAGTGACATTGGAGTCATCTGAGAGGAATCTATAAGAGGAACCTGTGGGTTGACCTCATTGTGAAGACAAATTTTATGTTGTCATAATATCTGAATGAATTTTTCATTTGCTTTAGGCAACACTTGTTTTCCAACCACACCATATTGTGAACGGTATGCTGTATTTTACTGTAAATATATTAGGCAGTGCTCATCCTCAGCAGTGACATAAGCACTTTCCATGTCTCCACTCAGCACATTATCGCTCATTCATCATCAACATGCATGCTTCCTCCTAAGCTGACCCACTTGTGTTCATACCATGTGCTGTGACGTTATGCAACTTATGAGGAGAGGAACAAACCCCTGTGAGCTGTGGCACGTCAGCCGCTGGGCTATTATTAGAGCACAGCACTCAGCTAAACCTAGTCACATCTACAGGCAGGAAATACACTCAGGTATCAGGTGGTGATGGCATTTTGCTGCAGGTAGATGTTAAAGAAGTGACCAGTCACTCCATTGTCATCAACTACAGTTGATGTTGACTAAAGTTTAAGTGTGATAGGATATTCCATCAATTCTTTGGACAACGATATTTGCTGATATCACAAAGTTTGCCACTGTATGATTACATTTTGATTCCAGTTCAGAGGCCTGTGATTGATAAAAGATGATATCAGTATTTTTGCAGTCTACAATACTATAGGGGACATTTCAAAATTTCTTTATGTATCATGTATAGCGATTATAGCCTAAAAATATTGCAGCATTATTTTTAAGCCTTATCACCCAGCCCTATCTCTAAGTATGGTAACTATGATGCAAAATCAAAGATGCTTCCATACCTTACGTTTCGTTGAGTGTTATATACATCTGTTCACCACAACTCACCAGTGAACATGAAGATCTAGATGCATTTAAAGTGTCTCCAATTTGCCAGAAATACAGTTCTGATGGTGAAATACCAAATCCTTGTTGGGGCCTATTTTCAGTCAAATTTATCCTAACTAAAATATATGTAGTGTCTAAAAATTGCAATGGTGGCCAAGACCCTCATACAGTGTTATCCTAACCTAGAGGACTGATGGTCACAGCTGTGGAAGTAAAGCCTCATATGTGGTTTTCTTTGTTTTCTTGTTGCTCCATGCTGACCTGTTTATACTTTGTGTCTTTACAGCTTTGTTTACTACATGGATGTGGACTCCAATGGAAAAAGGAACAATGAAAAAGTGAACTGTGAAAAATCCACAATCATGATTTGAGCGGGAAGTGACGGACTGGCTAATGATTCCAAAACTCCTGGACAGGAACAGTATGCAAACCAGACCACAACAGTGCACTTCCAGGACCATCCAGTTCCAGTTACTGTCACCATGGAGCTGAGGACATTTAACGGGTGGATAATGTTGGTGTCTGAGCTGACTGGATGTGATAACCAGGTTTATTTTTTAATGTTGTTTAATATTTGTTTATTTTTGTTCCCAAAAGCCCCAGTATAGGCCTGCTCTTCATCAACATTTGTAATGTACTTGGCTGTGGCACAGGTAAGGTACTGGATGTACCAGTATCTTAAGGTCAAAGCTACATTATCCTGATAATAGCATTTGAATGAACATCAGATGACACCACCAGCTTGTCTACCCGCCCTGTACAACCTCGTGCCTTAGAGATGATTCACTCCAAGTGTGATTGGATCATAAGATAAAATGATGCTGAAGCGGCAATTTACAAAAACTTAAAATGAAGATATGGTCATCACAGATTTTGAGTCAGTGTCACATGTATGCTCATGTAAAGATGGTTTACAAGGATATTTCACAAATCTGTGCCACACTCCAGAGGCAGAGGCTGAACAAATATGAATATGAACGTTTTTATGTTGTTTTGAAGGTGTTGTGTAGAATTCACACCTTAGAATTAGCAGGCCTGTATCAGCTCCATACAATATTGTGCTATTACAACCAAACAGTGTCCAGCAGGGAATTCAGATTGGTTTTATGTGGGTATTTGTTCCTGTTGAATCCAAAGAGCACCTGGTGGACAAAATGTGTATATCTGTCTATCGTCACTGCAAAGCTTAGTATGAGTATATTTGCTAAATTAATGTATGACCAAGAAACAATCATGATCATTGGGTGGGTTAACGGCTGTTTTTGGTAACTTTGTACTGAATGTTTTTACATTGAGGTAGAGTGTGGCATTTTTGGACTTCTCACAAACTGAAATACCACTTTGAATACAGTTCAAGATATCAAGTCAATAGGTAACTAGGAATCATCTGTCATCTAAGAGATATTGAGTATTGCTCTGTATTCTATCTTATGATTTTGAAGGGTTCTGTTGGGTGTGATATGGACATGGTTTATTGGGCCATTCTATGAGAATAGCCTTACACCTGAGCAGTATTGAGACATCTTTGACTGAATCTTTCATGAGTATCTGATTTGGAGGACTCTCGCAGGAAATTTGAAGATTTGCCATCTGGAAAAAATTCCCTAAAGCAGCCACGGAATACACATCCTCACTGTCCCTTTCTTCCTTCCTTCCTTCCTTCCTTCCTCTCATTACTGAAGTGCTTCAGAGTCTTTGCAGAGGCACGTAATGTTGTGTAGAACACATTCAGTTAGTTGCTGGTTGCAGCCTACTATCTGTGTTGTGTGAGAAAATTATGGCTAGTTTGTGCTGTGATTCCTGAAAAGCGATCACTACATGTGCACCCTGGGGATAAACAAAAATATCAAGCCACATGACTGATCCTCAGGTGAGATGGTACTTGAAGTAACTAGGATTTTCAGGAAGAAACAACAAAATGCAGAAGTTCAAACGCACAGAATAATAAAAAGCAGAGAGAGCGGTTAAAGCGTACAGCAGTGAGCCAGACAGAAGGGTTTAAATGCTTTGTATGCTTCACATGTAGAAAGCTCTACTGCCTTCACTCTCCAACACACACCAGAGGGATGACCAGAACCTCCTTCTGGATTCATAGCACTGCGTAGCATTTGGGTTCAGTTCAGTGACTCAGTAGTAGTAGTAGTAGATTTAAAGGCATTTTGTAGTGTGGTCCTACCTCATTCTCAGCACTTTGAAACATCTTGTCTACCTTGACAGTCTCAACTTTGTCTTAGTTTCTGATGCAAGGGTATCTTTGCTTGAGTGGGATGGATTTGTATCTCAGACTCAACCACTCCAGTCTTGAAACAACCTTGGACTGACTTTTCTGTGTGGTGTTTTGCTTAGTAACACCTAGCTTTTCCCTTTACAATGATTACATCTACAACACCTGTTCACTTCTGTTATACAGAGATAGTCCAAGCTCCACTTATGTTTGCATTCAACAACTGCAGCTCCTATATAGCTGTGTTAGTGCCCAGAGGTGTCTATGCCTGAAGGCCTTAGTGTCTTTCCAAACAGTACAGTACAACAGTACAACCATATCCTTTTAGCTGTTACGAAAGGCCGTACTTGAAGCACGGCAAACAAGTCCACTGTTCTAACCTCTTAGTTCCTGAGTCCCACTGGCTCGGCAAACTCTGCAAGAATTTGGTGTCTTTTGCATGTCTTTGTTGTAGAGGTCAACTGATAATGGATTTCTAAAAGCTGATAGTTTGGAACAGAATAGCTGATTAATAGGCCAATATCTCACTGACCCCCTCTGCAGAAATTCAAAGTAAGTACTAAGTCAAAGTAATACATAACTAAATAAATATATCAATCTGGAACTAAACATCAAATTTATCATAAAAAATCTAGGTCGGAGTGTTTTTTAATTATTAGGCTAATCATTTTCCTCAAAGTCAAACTGAGATTCTGAAGCAGTCAATGACATTACCTTGACTTTATGTATGAAGAGTTCATGCAACCGTGATCAGAGATGGGCAGGATTTCTGTGAGTTGTATTTGAATTATGTATTTCAAGTACTGTTGAGCATTTTATAATTGCTAAAAAAATTAAGTGTGATTTAAAACAAGATACTTAAGAGTGGCATAATTTTCTATTTTCATTCATTTTCTGTAACCACTTATCCTGTTAGGGGTCACGGGGAGACAGCTGACATTGGGCGACAGGGGGGTTGCCAAGCTATCACAGGGCTGACACATCGAGACAGACAACCATTCACATTCACATTCACACCTATGGACAATTAAGGATCAATTACCCCTAACCTGCATGTCTCTGGACTGTGGGAGAAACCTGGAGAAAAACCCATGCTGACATGGGGAGAGCATGCAAACTCCGCACAGAAGGGTTCCCCTACCCCGGGGTTCGAACCAGTAACCCACTTGCTGTGGGGCGACAGTACTAACCACTGCCACAACCACAAACAGTGACAGAAGTATTAGTGTAAAGAATAAAACTAAACAAAATACACACAAAACAGAAGTTTTTATTTGTGTGTGAATTTAAATGAATGTGCTTCTTTTTTTAATGTTCAAGTTGATTTAAAAAGTTGTGAAGGTGCAGGACTCCATGAACTTAGAGATGGCAGGAGCAATTTTGATCAAAGGACAACAGAAAGGGGCTTATTTGCAGTCAGTGTTGAAGCACCTTGACACACTGGTTGCTGTACTTGTTGAATGCCTACACAACTCTAGCTGTGAAAATACAAAGATGTTCAGTTTTGAGATATGACTTTAATTTTTCACTTTTTCCTAAAGCACTAGTGTAGCACATAGAAGCTCTGTTTTTTACTGAGATGTTGATTCTCTGACCTGCAGTGTTCAATACACGTTTCTTCATTTCTCCTAACATAGTTAAAAGACTGCATTGCTGTGGTAATAAGCTAATCGAGGATCTTTAAATCATCACTATGCTAAAACTGTGCAGTGCTCCTACTGTCACTGTATTTTCTGTAGGAGCCGTTTCATTTAGTTCTCTTCAGACTAGCAATGATTCCACTTGAAAACACTTTACACTATGCAAAATGTTTCACTGCCTCACTGTAAACACCGTACAGAGCCACACTGTTCTCAAACAGTTGGGTGTAATATCTTGAACTTTTTTTCTTTAGTACATATTTCCAGTGTGTACAGAAATGTATGTTGTGTTAAATAAGAACTGCTTTTTTTAATGAAGCTGACAGGAGCCATTAGATGTTTGAGAAAGCATCATTTTTTTTGTTTTTCGTTTTGCTGTAAATATGTTTGACAACTTTTATTGGAATAAATGATCAAATCTATGACTGTTTCATCTATCTTATTTCCTAATGTAAATTTATCTCCTCACATTTATAAATGTCATACTGAATTCTTTCATCTGTCATTTATTTAGCGTTTTGCTTATAAAAGATAGAGGAGTTTTAACTGGTTATGAAAGTCTTCGCTTAATACTGATGCCTCTGTCCACCTAATTTCTAGCCCTCATGATACTTTGCGTAAATTATGGGTGCGACTTCCAGCGCCGAATGTAAACTGTCTTTTTTACAGCATATAATGGTATGCTAATCCAATTTTATAGAGAGATTGGGAATAAAAGTCTTGTGAAACACACTACCTGTTTTCACTCCAGACTGGATAACCTCTATCATCTTTGACAGCCATCTCAAAGCATTAGTTGTTTTCCTTTTTAAACAAGCATGATAGCGATTAACTCGCTACACAGTGATAGTTTCATTTTAATCTTTCATCAACAACCTTTTTTCCATAACGTAAACGAGACGATGACAAGCTAAAAATAGATCTTGGTAATAAAAACTCTGACGAAATCTATGTTTTATTTTCATTGACAAGATGAGACGTGATGAAAATGTTAGTGGTGGACTATCAGACACAGAAAGCCGAGAACAGACATGCTTGTACTTTTCTTCGAATGCTGCATGAGTGACAGGCTGATAAACTCCAGTGAATAGTCTGGGCCAGGATGTTTTGCTAGCCAGCAAAAATACTCACAGCGGAGCAGCGTCAGCCGTTGGTGCTAGTTGTGAGCTGTAATTCAGCAGTAAATAATCAGCCGTGTGTGTCTGACTGTGGATGGTGGAGCTGCTGAATGGATATGCGGACTTTGTTAGTTGAAGCGGTGGCTGTTAGCAGTCAGTTCCGCTTGTTAGCTGCTGAACAGCAGCAGAGCGAGCAGCCACAGGCTACACAACTGATCCCTGCAGGACTTCACTCAGACCGGGACTGTCTCGACATGTTTTTATGGGTTGATGGTGTTTGACAGGCAGGTAGGAGGCTCGGTTATCTGTGAGTGCACCTGTTCTGTACCCTGCAGGGCTCTGACTGTTCTGTAAGTATAGTCTGAACTCAGGTCAGTTTTCTCTGACAGAGATTAAAGTTTAGTTTTTATCACCAACTCTGAGAGGACACAAGTTTAAACCTCCAGACTAACATTGCAGATTAAGAAAGAATTCAGGCTTTAAGTTATTTCTCTGCTTCTCAACAGTGAGATGGATAAGTCAGGAGTTTACAATGAACCTGGGTACAAATCCTAGTTGTCTCAGAAAATCACCCTTTAAACATGTCAAACACTGCTGGAGAAATGACAGTTAGTAAGAAAGAGGAAATTATTTGTAGTTGTAGAAAAAATTGTCAAAATGAAATTTGTATACACCTGTTACCTTGATTCTAATTTCTGATAATTGTAGTATTAGCCTAACAGGATTAGTTTCACGATAAAAAAAAAAAAAACATAGAAAACATAATGACTAAAAATTGACTAAAACGTCATACATTTTTGTCAACTAAAACTAGATCAAAACTAAGAAGGATAAAAATGACTAAAAATGTGACTAAAACTAATTAGCATTTTCATCTCAAGACTAAGACTAAAATAGCTGACAAAACTGACACTCGAACAAGTTGAGCATACAGTGTCCTCCTTTTCTCATGAGTTTGGACCCCAAACACAGCATGGAAAGTTAAAACTTCCCCCCAAAAAAATACAAATTTGAAGTGGGTAAAATAATAAACAGAATTTGAACTCATCAACATTATAATATGATGTGAGCCAGGTGACACCCATGTGTTTGTTTTTGTTAATGTAAGCTGGTGAATGCGTTTTGCTGACCTTAGTGTATAGAGCACATTCACAGATGTCAAAGGGACGGTTTACTGCCTTGTTCACTGACACCAGTGAGGCACAAATGATCCCGTCAGTGCTCTCTGTGTCCATGTGTGATTGTGTGTGTGAGTGAGTGATTGAGAGAGAGAGAGAGAGAGAGAGAGAGAGAGAGAGAGAGAGAGCCCCGCCTTTCTGTTCTATATGTTCAGGAACATGTTGTTCTCTGGCAGCAGGCCTGAAAGCAGGGCCATCACATCCTCACAGTACAGCACATGTGCTCTTACATGTTTCAAATCTGACTCAAACTGCTTCAATAAGTCTGCTGTGGCTACTGACAGCATACATCTGAAACAGAATGGGGGCATATATTTTCAAAGCAAATAAAATATGATTTACAAATGTGTTTTTTTTTATTTTACATTTTACAGATAATGTAAATCTTAAATGTTAATACATTTTGTATTGTGAGGAGGGGAGTTGGAACAAGTCACCAGTAGATTACTGCTAGAATCTGTTTTGACTTTCTTTATTGTGTTGTTGTGTTAGCACTTGGGTATAATTTATGAATCACACATTTTGCATATGTATATTTTTTGGCAACATTTAACAAATAATAATGCTAAGTGTGTGACTAAATAATTTAAGTACACATAAATAATGGAGTTTCGATTCTTCAATTCTGATTTGTCTTGTCTGGGATTCCAGGATTCTTGCACTCCTATTGGCTGCTTGCCGTGAATGTCACAGCTGTTACCATCTTCCCTAATTTCAGCAGCATCTCGTAAAATCCCCCCACCCTCACCCCCTCTTAGCTTCATTTCACTGCCTATAGCTGCCTCCTCCCCTCCCTGCTCCCCCACTCTCAGTACAGTGTGTACCCAGCTGGACATAAAGAGCACAGAACACTGGCATATTGTTGTCTGCTGTGTGTGTGTGTATGTGTGTGTGTGTGTGTGTGTGTGTGAGAGAGAGAGAGGCATTGTGTGAGCATGTCTATACTGTGGGAAGTATTCCTGTGGTGTCCTTGGTCATCATTAATCCACACTTAACTATTAATCCAGAAGCCTAATCACACTGTGCTGCACAGTGGTTGTACAGAGCGGGGCTTTGTTTTTGACCAGGACTGTGACATGGCAGCGCAAATCCCCCGTGGAGTTGTTTACAGTTCCATACTTACTTATTACAGCAGGGGGTATCCCACTTTCCCTCAGCCAATAGGATCATTGCTCTGTTATTCTTTCTGAATTAGCCCTATCAGGTGCTACCAATGCACCTGTTTCTCTTCCTAAAGTCCACAGAAAAGAAATTAGACAGTATACAGAACAAACACAGACAAACTCATAACTCACACTAGGAAAGCAGACAAAACATCAATGAGGCAGGTTTTAAAGGGCTATTCCAGTGATGTGTTGCAGAGTCCTGCATGGGTCCCTTTTTGAAAACCTGTACCTGCCCACACTCGACAATAAAAGTCCTGCGACCCGACCTGCACCCGTGATTAAACACACATAGGCGACAGTCAATCACATTAAAGGGGAACTAATGTTTTTTTCAACCTGGGCCCTATATTCTGATCTACTTTTGTCTAAATGAGTGAAAGAATGTTCAATATTTGACATTTCTCCAGTACGAAGCTAGGGCTGACCTGTCTGCAGCCTGTGAGCACGCGCTATATTAAATACTAGGGCACTCAGACAGCATCAAACAACGTCAAAATACATCCACTAAAAGTGCATTTTTTTCACACAGATAGGCTCGGATTGTTAGAATAATTATCCGACAACATAACGGAAAGGAGAAATGAACTGTGTTTACCTTTAGCTGGATTCGGACATGTTCCTCTGCGTGCTCAAACTGTTTCATTTGTGCTGTGTGCCATCTTCATTTACTCTTTACATATAACACATATACTGATATTTACACATCTTAACAAATCTCACAAGTGTTCCCTTTACTATGACACCAAAAGTATTCAAACAGACCTTGTGGTTGCAGAGATATTTCATTTCATTATGGGTATGCAATTTTCGAGCAGAGGACTATAATACTATAAAATAGGTTTAGGATTGCCAGTTGAAGCTGAGCACCGACTTTTAATCGTTCCTC